TTGTTTAGCTTATATCTTCCAAACCACGAGGCTTCTACGCATGAAATCACTTGGAGTATATTCTCAACTCAATTACAGATCTCTCGAAGAAGAATCAGATCAAACAGAGTTTAGATGTGGGAGTTATGCTATTTACAAATCAGGTGATCTTCAGTTCTCGCAAATTCATATATTTGCACATTCAAGTGTGGACCGACACTTACATATCTGAGCTGAAAGAGAAAAGTGATCTAAATAACACGCCTTTGGAACTGAGTGAGCTAAATGACACTAAATGTGGAGTTAGTTTAGTTGCTGGGCGAAATGAACATTTTTCAGCCCAAAGAAAAATTCATAACAAATTCAGTTTGGGTCGGTTTTACACCAAATTCGACAGGCCTTTGCTGATGGTCTCCTGCCCATTTGCATCAATAAATATCAACAAAAGAATTCAGAGACGTGGTCAGGAAAAAGGTCATTCAAAAACACACTTATTTTTGGTCAAAAGTCTTAGTCTTTATTTGTGTTTTCTAAGTTTCTAGTTTTCCACAAAAACTCTTAGTATCCTTTGACCACATTGTACTATAAATAAGGCCTAAAAGCCTCAAAATTAATCAGATTTTTTTTTCCTTTATGAGTTTATCTCTCTTTGTTCTTTGTAGAACATTTCTTAGTTTCTTGGTGAGGTTATGTCCAAGTTTCGTTCCTTCTTTTGTTGGACCTGTGCGTCACATCTGGTAACGATCGAAATCTAGTAGTATCATTGGGCCAACCGCAACCCTTTGTGTCACCGTTCAATCCACCAGTTCTCCCTTTTGGTGAGTTCATATCCCTTTAGTTCGGCTGAGTGATCATTTCCCGATTTAGGGTGTATCACAAGGTCTCTGCTATGTTTAATCAAAGGATGCACCGGTTAGATAAGTGTGAAAACTCATCATTTCTGAGTTATGTGGGGTGGATGGTTGATTGACTTAGGGTCTGATGGGCATCATCTAGTTCAGGAGATGGACTTGCTACAATATCCTACAAGCATGAGGAGAATGGGTGATGCATTAGTTGAGAGGAGCTAGATGCATTGTTGTTGAAGACTTCCCAAAGGTTACTTGGTCAGTGGGGATGGTTGGTTGAATGACTAAGTACCCAAGGGGAGATGTTTATGCTGGTGTAAGAGAGCTGGACTAGTTGGCAGAGAGCTGGGCGCAACTATCTTGTAGCTCGATCAGCTGGAGAGAGTGATGGAACCACAAGTGAGGTGGTACAGCTTGGCTAGCTGGATGAGCTAGCTAAACAAGCTGAGGTAGCTGGCCTTAGCTTGGATTTAGCTAGCTTAGGAGTGTTAGCTCAAAGATCTGGATGAGCTAGCTAAGTCAGATAGGAGTATGAGCTAGCAAAGTCAACTAGGAGGATGAGCTAACTAAGTCAGATGGACCGATGAGCTAACAAGCTCCGTGGATGTGGCAAAGTTATGATCTAGCTACTTTCTTTTAGATCTAGCTAGAATGGTTTAGGGGAATGGAACCTTTAGACTAGTATGACTTGTACCATGTAAGGATCGATCTATAAGCTGGAAGGTAGTTCAAGGAACTGACCAAGGCATAGACGATTAGATTGGACAAGTGTTAGATTGGTTTTAGACCAATGGTTAATATAGTATAATCTGCTGCGTATAAATAGAAATGATCTAAGCTAGGAAATACTAAAGTAGTCTTAAGCTAAGATCTAAGCTGGCCCTCGCTTATGGGCGATAGTATAAATAAAGGGCGAAAAATTTAAAGGTTCGGTCTGAAAGAGGACTGAGCAACATAAGCATTCGACCGCGGCCTGAGAGCCCGGGATCGGGTCTTACATTCCATTTAGCTATGTTGAGTATGAAAAATTTAATGCAAGAAGCTTATATCTCAATATGGATTGTCAGCCCTTTTGTTGACAAACTATTTAGTGATTCACTGATATGATCGACTTAGTGATCGCTGATATGAAACATGATTTTCTTACCATTCCTATTATTAAATTTTCCTTGTGTCAGATTTTAGTATTGGTGGTCTGGTCTTGGTTTCATACATAAATTGGATGCTTCCAAAGAATGTTCTTTACTTTGTGCTCTTAGTTGGCTTCGTGGACTTACAGAATTTGTAGGTAGCTCTAAAATTTTACCAAAGCAGTTTTACAGATAGATGATTTTGTTGACTAATTAAGATTTTAAATGATAGATACCATCGAAGATACTAATAGCATTGGGATCAAAGATGTAAAAAAAATGTTGAGTAACTCAGAGGTAAAAAGTCAAGGTTAGAAGATTCAAACATGCAATGAGAATGATGATATCTATTTGTGTTCGGATTTTTAATCATATATTACATTTCGTTTGAATTCAACAAATTTTACTGTGCTAAGTGAAGCATAATACTCGGATTTGAAGACAATATGAATGTATAACAGACCAATATTCTTTTTGTGTCATTTTCTAGTTTGGCTACATTTGTGTTTTCTATGTATTATTCTATGTTTTTTTTAAAAAATGTGTATATGTGATTTATTTTGTTAGTTTTAACTTTCAACTTAGAAGCATAATTAATTTTGTACAATTTGCAGTTTAATTTAAACTTACAAACAATACTTACTTGTTTATGTGAGAGTCGTGAGATATTGGGTTATGGTCATATAGATTCATTACAAAATATTAGAGGAACATTGAAATATTTCTTAGAGACAAGAATTTAATAAATCCATGTTTAAAAATGATCAAAATTGTATTTAGAAGAAAAAACGTAAACATACCTAGTTGGATATTTCCAAATATTTGATTTAAGACTAAATTTGTTCTAACGAGTTGGAAAATGAATGTGGAAATACAGAGAGCCAAGCTGGGTTAACAAGTGCCATGTCCAGCTTTTTACATATAGGGTTCTCGTCTTGATTATTTGACCAAGTGAACAGAAGGCCCACATAAGAGAGATCCGATAATCCACATATTCCAACAGTCTCTTGAAAATCTCTGATAGCACTACGGTCACCAGCATGATCAACTGATCTGAGAGTTCATTCAGAGACATGGTAACATTAAAATCATGCCCAGCACTATCCACGCATCATTACCTCCTCCAATCATTGTGGCAATAATTTCAAGCTCTTTCCAAAGCTTCTTTCTTTCATATGAAAAGATGGCCTGAGGGACACTAGTCCATGCATTAGTTTCAGTCGCCATTATCATTCTTATGATTCTTTGTGTACATAAACTTTTTTCATCTCACTAATATAAATTTAACATTTCATCGAAAAAAAGCAAATAAGAAGTAAATCTCAAAGTCGTGGAAACAGGAAACACAACAATTGCACTCATTTACCAGAAAACTATATGGTTACCTCATACGCGATGCACGCCAACCCATACTCTTACTGCAGGCCGGCCAATCCTGACAATCGATTGTCACAACTCACAATATTTAGTAGTTTAGTTCAATAAAAAAATATAGAAATGTTTTTATTATTTTAAGTTTGATAGTTTTACCAAAAAAAAGCTCTGATAAGTTTTACATGCTTTGAATGCTAGGTTTAATAGTCTTATTGACCGATTTCTTCAGTCGCAAAATGTTTATGGCATGCTCTTACTCAGAGGAAGTGTGGAACGAACGCAATACCGTCTTTGAGCATGTGAGCACACTGCTTATGCACAAAACCCATTCGTTTTTTACAAATTTTCTTAAAGTAGTACATGTCCTAATTTCAAAACACACATATATTACACACAACAAAAGGCCTAATTTTCAGATATCAGTTGAAAAATTTTAAACTTAGCATAGGGCCTAAATATTTTTTAGGCTGGCCCTGGTGGAACTGGATCATACAAAATCTTTTTAGCGGAAGATTTCTACTCTAATCAGTGGAGTAAACTTTGCAGATTTTGGTGGATGGTTTATATGACATAATTAAGTACAGCGTCAGTCCAGCAAATTGGACTGCCTAAAACACTTACAAATTTTGAGCGAACCTAAAAAGAAAGTTTATAAAGAAATAACAAAAGTACTAGTTAATAGTTCAAATCTGAGAATCTTAGCACACTAAAGAAGCACATAACCATTACTGGTAAATTTGGTGTCCTTTAAAATTTGTTATAGTTATTTGGAGCATGAAGAAGTTTTCTCTGCCTTAAGTCAGGGTCTGAACTGTATAAGTATTTACTTTCTCTTATGGGTATACTTTCAGACTACTGTGTATGCAACACGGCATGAACGAAACATGTGTGAAGTTGGAGAATTTCCGGAGTCCTTCATGACCAGGTGACTGATTGCTCTCCCTGACAAGTTGGATCGAAATAGTATCTCTTTGATTAAAGGGAAAAGGGTGGAAAGAGACACGACAAATCTATGGAATTATGGTTTCCAAACTGACGATCTTTCAACTTTCTTTTTTTGTGTAATCAGCTAATTCAAATCTTTCTTTTTTTTTCAAACGAAGTTGCATTGATTGCAAAGAAAATCTATATGAGAAAATTTAATTTCTTTCAGAAAATATATAATTCTCTTATCAATGCCTAGGGGCAACCAATTCAACATTATACACCTCTACAAGTAACTAACAACACCTTTTTTATTTGGGTACCATTTTGATTGAAATGTCATAAAATATAACCATGGATAAAAAGAGGTTTCGATCAAGTACTTAAATTTTCCGTTTGGCTCTCAAATTTTCACTATATAATCAATATCTAATTATATTTTCAATTAGAATCTTCAATATGGACTTCAATAACATTAAATACAATTATTTTCGACTATTTTGTTAAAATCCGTTAACAATAATACAATATAAAATATTGTTACTATTTGATATTGTTAATAGTACTCATTCTATGATCTCTCCATGTATTATTGTGAATCCCCGCAACCACTAATTTCAAGACCATGGGCATAAATTTAAGTACGTCGACTGAATAAGAATCACTAATTAATCTCGGCCAATAGAGACAACTTGAAACAATATGAAGAAAAGTAAAAGAATGTTATTAGAAGATGGGAATATGATATTAATTTAAACCCATGCCATATTGAACCAATAAAAATTTGACTCATGGAAAATTTTTGGTAACGTGAAAAACGTAATTAAAAGAGAAAGAAAATTAAAAAATGTGCAAAGTCCCAAAACAATGGTCTACCTCGTGGAAATTTCGTATCATAATAGTTAGAAAAAGAATGTACTAACGAAGACTATCAATGGCCAACGCCCGGACTTGGAACGGATTGAAGAAACCGGTAAACGGTTGAGAGATGTCTAGATCGGAGCTTCACGGCTGAGATGGCGGCGTGACCCTTTTTGCTAGGCGTCGAGTTTGGGATTTTTCCTTTTGGCAGAGCTGCTAGGGTAGTGGTGTTGGTCACGTGAGGTACGTGACTCTTCTCTTCCTCTCTTACCGTCAAGTTCTCTTGTTTTTTCATCTCCAATAGCTTTCTTGAAGAAACTGGTGACGGCAAGGCCGCGACGATGACGGCAAAGACAAGGAAAACCCCGATGGTCACTAGACGAACGGCCATGAAAATTGTTTGCTTTTTGGGGATAAATTCAGAGAAATAGAGAGAGAGATGAATCCAATATAACTCAAAGACTTAAGGTTGCTATGAAACAAGACGTGATGTATATATAGCCAAATATAATAGAGAGAGAAAGACAGCTCCTATTGTAGAATGTTGATAAAGGTAATTAATGTATGAATTGGTGGAATCACTGTTTGTCTTTTGTGTTTGTTTTTCTTTCTTTTGAATAGAAGAAGTCTAACGTGAGACTCTACCACATGCATGCATAGCCAATTAGTATAACTTGGTTAATTTTCAAACAATATGTTTTCCAAGAAATTTGATCTATATGGTCATTTGGAAAATATAAATTAAGAAATACAAATCAAATGTTTCACAAGTCATGTACAAACCATTAAAGAAGATTCTTGGCAGTTTCATTTATACATTAAAAATGAATTACGTTCTCAAAAGTCAAAGAGGACATTTTAGACAGCGGCCTGAAGAGGAAAAATGAAGTTATCATTCGCATAAAGTTTAAATATATTTTTTTGTAACTAATTGGATGACATTTTGTATAGAGTTTAAATATTACCAGCAATTGTTATCCAAAGTGTGAAACGTACATTATGTACTTAATCTGTAAGGGGGCTAAAGGCAAAGATTAAAAAAACTACCGGAAACGAAGACGATCATTTTGACTTGAAAAGAAAGGGATTAGTCATTAACGATAGTATAATAGTTAAACAGTATGCAATAGTCAGAATAATCTTTAGTGAATCAAGTTGAGTCCTAAGTACGTAGTGAATCAAATTAATCCATTTAGTACAGTTGGACTAATATCGTTAATTAGTTAGGTAGGCTAATTAAATCTCTTGGGATCTACAGTACTACGTACGATGTAACACGTGGGATGAGTTTTTTTTTTTTTTTTTTTTTTTTTTTTTTTTTTTTTTTTTTTTTTTTT